GGTACTTAAGTACTTACTTTTAACACTATTATTATGTATGTAATGAGGCCAAGGGCCAAACATGTTTACTTTATCACTTGTACTCATTCGGTACCATGTTTTGCTTTAAAAATGTATTTTAACCAACTTTGGAGGTTTGACATATGAAATTCTTGTAATTGACATGTATGAGGCCATGAGTCGTTATATTACATTCAAATATTCATATTACGTTTGTTGACATGTTTATAAGCTCATATCTCTTTGAAATTCAGCTTTTAACCTTTGTTTTTAAACCAATTCATGATGGGATTTGAGGTTTAGGTTAAACCTCAATGTTTTTGGTGTATAACAGGTCCTACAGCACCTTCTCGAGTCATTTCGGCCGACCAAAATGTCATTTCGGTCGACCGATAGCTTTTGGGAATAAATTGCACAATAAAACTCACTTTCCAGTAGCTAAAATCACTGTTTAGGTCACAACCGGTCGACCGATGCTTCATTTCGGCCGACCGAAGTGACTTTTCCTCAAAAATTAGCTTTTTGGTGATTTAGGGTTTATTTCAGTTGACCGAAATGTCGTTTCGGCCGACCTAAATGACTCAAACACTCCTGCCCTTCAGATTTTGTATCAGCTTTGTTATTTAGACTTCAAATGGTCATATCTCCTTCATTTCTAATCCAAATGGGGTGATTCTTGAGCCTAAACTTAAGAATTTTGAGTCAGCTTTCCAATGGTACTAATGTCATTCTCAAATTCAAATCACGGTGAGAGTTATTCATGTTTTAGTGAGATAATGTCAGTTTTTGCTTAAACCGGGAATGAGCGTTTTGTGGGATTCTTGGCTAAAGTTCTTATAACCTCTTGGAATGTTGTGAAATAATTAGATTAGGTTGTATGGACATCATTTAACTTGCTTAGAGTCAAATTTCTCGTTTTACGTGTAAATTGACCATTTTACCTTTGATAAACGAGTTTTACCCATTTGGACCCTTATTTTCTTTTTCGTTCTCTTTAAGTTCCGTGACTTCATGGAAGGTCACATTGGTGTCTTAGGAATGATTTATATCTCTAGAGACCTTAGTTTATCTTTTGCTTCCACATTTTGGATCCATTACCGGGTCAACTTTCGGGTCATCACCAACGCACCGGGTTGCAAAACTTGGGCCGTCACATCACTAATTTCACACATTGTCTCACCAATCTCAGACCTTAATACACCAATTTTAGACCTTATCTCACAAATTTCAGACCTTAGCTTACCAATCTCAGAACTTATCTCAGCAACATGTATCATAATCTCAGCAAATACATCTTCTTGGTTACATGTTGTAGCAGAGTCCACCACATCGTCTGTAAAGCAACTTATTGGATTGCACTATTCCCAAACACCACAACTTCTAATTGGACAAACATAATACAACTTCCCCTTATTATTATAATCATTAGAACCTGTGACGTTAATTACACGTTTTGTTTTTATTTACATTTGCAATACAGATCCCTGTACCTTAAATCACCCAAGCTTAAAGCTTTTCTGTGATACCCCTCGGATCCGAGACACGGGTTGATCAGGCCTATGCCCAAACCCGAGGGAATATCAAATAATTAATATTTTAAAAACGAACACAGATGACAAAATAAAATAAGAATAAATATTACAAGCTGGAAGAAACTAAAATAAAATTCTTTAAAATAAATACCTAAATCCCAATAATCCAAAAACCTCCAATAGATTAAACAACTCGGGAATCCATCTCTAGTGGACCCCTAATAATAATCCAAACTGAAATAACGATAACTGAATGAAACATCCAAAACAAAACTACGGAGAGAGTCCTACGTCGTCAAAAGAGTGAGTAGTAGTCTCTGCTTAACACGATCAAGTCTAAGTATAGAACTGACGAGTACCTGAAAAATAGAAGTGGGTCAGGCCCATGAACAAGTTCTAACATACTACAATCCAAGCAGAAACTCGATACGCATATACACCATAAACAACTCAACAATAGCTAATAGTCCGATACATAATTATATCCATACTACAGGACTCTCACTGGACTACGGAAGGGGTCTTAACCTGAATAAAAGGCAACATGTGAAAACGCACCCAAAGGTGGGCATGAGTACCTAGACCTAACAGGGTATACCTCAACCTCTCATATCCAGCTACGTATCATATTGCATATACGCTCCCTAACCGACGACTCTGAGACTCAAGCTCAGATCGCAGTACCATAATATATATTTAAAGTCCGTCCTAACCATAAAAAGTCTAGTTAGTCATTCAGCTTGTGCAGCTTCTTTGACTTAACATACCTCACGAGTAATCCGAGTAGTCATTCCGCTTATGCAGCTTCTTTGACTCAATTATAAGTAGGATTTATTTTAATATCCATTCCCTTATTCTATGTAGGTAGGATTTAGTATTTTGAAACTAATCCAAACCTAGGAATGCCACCGTCCCATACCGGTGCATGTAATCCAACATCCACAGTTGACAACACAGGTAATAAATGTAATTATCAACTATATAGTATATCCAACAATAATCCAACGTCCACAGTTGACAATGCGAGTAACAAAAGTAATTATCAACTGTACAGAATATCCAACAATCGTCAGTAAATCACTCAATTGTAAACATCAACTGCTTCACATTAAACATGTTAAAACTTTGTTATTTAACAAGTTTATTTATCACTACTCCACCCAGTTCCATGATTGTTAATACAAATCATATATATATAACCTTTAAATAAAATCCAAGTAAGCGTGACAAATTTGTTTTACAAACCTACATACTTATCCTATACTACTCCACAGTTGTTCAGGAGTGAATAACATAGTTAATGTAAGTGTACACCTTTCATCCATTATAGGCATGTAATTCACTCTATAGTCCTACATGCTTATAGTCTATCACAGAAACATGAACAGAACCTAACTCCATTCCCAAATAAACTGTTACACCTAAAGTTGTGTAGTTTAGATCCTAAGTCTCCAAAACAGTTTAATAGTGTGCTTAGAATTTTTATACTGTTCCAAACAACAGTATTGATTGGTTGATTATGCATTAACAAGCCCTCTGAAGACCTAAATTAATCTCACTCATCAACCACAATTCCCATTCACAGCTCCTAAACACCTCTGCCATGTCAAAACTCAGTCCAGAACTCGCAAAAAAACTCAAAACTGGAATAACACACAAGGAGAGCAGGCTCCCACAAGGTGGAGCCGTTTCCACCCATGCTAGAGCCAGCTCCAACCATGGAAGAGCCGGCTCCTAACCATGTAGAGCCGGCTCCATGGTCCCATGGAGCCGTCTCCTTTTCCTCTTCTCCTCTGTCTGTTTGTTTCGTCTCCGTTTGACTGCACTACATCCGTCCCTCTCTGTTACAACTTCTAACACTTTTATTTGTGTTCAGACCTACCCAGAGAAAACCCATCTACCTCCTTCATGCATTGATTAACAGTAATTTAAAAGAACAATTACACAGTTGGACACAAAACAAACAGTTTACAACAAGTTTCAACACATACTGATGTAATGAGTTCTAAACATGCATAGTCAATTAATTCCGTTTAATGATTTCCTAGAACTACTTTGGCATGCAAAGAACATGAGTAAAAGGAAAAGAGATCAGGTTAGAACTTGCCTTTAGCCTTTCCCCGTTGCCCTTCTAACTTGTCCCCTTGGCAGACCTTTCAATACTTTGCTCTCAACCCTCTGTTTATGTGTTTACAGAACTTAGGTTACATCTGTGAACTAAGTGCTTTGATCGTAACCCTAGACCTATATTATTATGATGTATTTATAAGCTTTAATCCCTGAAATCCTAATCCTTATAAGATTAGAGACAAAACCCAACTTGGCCCATAAACCATCCTGTGATATAAACAACGTCTGTTACCCCTATAACGTTTAAACCTAATGTAGCTATATATATACAACAATAAACAGACACGTTAAGGCAAAATAATAATGAAATTTAATTAAATAAAGTCAAATAAAACAATTAACTAATTAACTTAAACAATGAGTGCAATTAAAATCAATTAAACAAATAATCAAGTAAATTGACACATCATTCAAATAATAATAAGGAATTCAAATAAATCAAATAATCACAATTAAATCAAATAATTCAAGCAAATTAAGCGATTAGACAATTAACCATTAAAAATTACAATTAAATAATTAATGAAATTACAGGACTATCCTTTGTAAAATTAGGGGTATTACATTTTCCATTTGAACTTGTAGACATGTTTTCAAAAACGAAAATCCAGATATTTGAAGAAGAAATTGTAACCCACAAGACCTTCGCTATTCTCCAAACATTTGAAGAACAAATCGTAACCAACAAAAATGAAAATTTCAGATTTTTGAAGAACAGATTGAAAATCCAGATATTTGTTTTGAAGATGAACAAATCGTAACTCATAATTCAGCCTTTAATTTGTAGATGAAGAAAACTTACCTAAATGGAGCCCTAAGTTGCAAACAGAAGAACAACCTTCTTCTTCATCGTTTTTCTTCAAATTACAGAACAATCTTATTCTTCTTCTTCCTCTCTAGAGCTCCCAACACTTGATTTACACAACACAACCAATATGGATCAACTTCTCATAACGGCAGTAGCTTCGTCTTCTTCTTCTTTTCAGCCCTAATGAACCGTTCTGTCTCACAAGGGTTATATATGTGTATTATATCATACATATATAAATTTATATATATATACATATATATATTCATAATTTTAAATATAATATAAAATAATATAAGTAAGGGTATTTTTGACATTTTAGTAAAAATAATAGTTGCTGTCATCATTTTTTGTCTTTAATTCTAACAAAAGGAGGTCTGTATAGATTATTTTCATTTTTATAAGAGATTCGCGTAAGTTTCGAAACAGTAAATGGTCCTTGTAATTAGAGCAAACTGTAAATTATTCTTTTTATTTTTATAAAAAAAATCGTAGAAAATAAGCGAAGCTCCGTTTGATCGTCTGTATGGGCCTGTAAAAGTCCTAGTATTTAGAAGGGAACCATAATAGCGTTTTCTGTCTCTCTTTGCAATTGATTTTAAATAAGGAGGAGAGGGAGAGAAAGACGAGAGGGAGAAAAAAAAAGGAGGTAGTGGGATCTATCGATTGATGGCGTTGAAGGAGACTTTTTACATATCGCATGGTTCGCCGACGCTGTCAATCGACGATTCATTGTCGGCTTGGCATTTCTTGAGAAGTTTCAAAGAAAACACCTTCTCTCGGAAGCCATCTTCTATTCTCGTCATTTCGGGCCACTGGGAAACCTCCCACCCCACCGTTAACGCCGTCTCTGGCCTCAACGACACCATCTACGATTTCTATAACTTCCCTAAACAAATGTATCAGGTACTTGCCCTATTTTATTTATTTATTTATTTTTCTCTACAACTTCCATTTCCATTTTTTTTTTTTTTTTTTGTGATATTATTATTATTACTGTATATGTTAGGTCTTCAATTCAATCAAAACCTATCCATGAAATGATCAGCTGTTTTGTTTGGTTTGGTCAACCTTCACCTGTCCTCTTCATTTTCTTTTGCTTTCTTGCTTTTTCGCAGCTAATTTTATTATTTTTATCTTTTTATATGTTTTGATTTACCTCATTAAAAGGAGTATTGTTTTTAGGTTAGGTAAAGTGCTCACGCAGACATTTTTGTCCACTACAGCACTCAAATCCCTTACCTACCCTCTAAAGAGGTGTCTCCCTTACCTAAAGAGGGGAGAGACGTTTTACAGTCGGACTAATCATAAAAAATAATAATTAAAAAAATAAAAATAAAAATAAAAATAATAAACTTATTCCAATTTGTTGTCAATCATTGTATAATGATTGATATCAGTTTAAAACCTATGATTAAACTGTTATTAAAATTGTACTGCCACGAGCTCACTACCAAAATTGTAAAATTTGGCCTTCATTTGTTGTTTTTCATGCTAACACAGGGATCAAAGAGTGGCTTCTGGAGAAAATTAGGATACGAATTGTGTAGTTCTCTTGAACTGCGCTACCTTTTTAGTGCTTTTATACAATTTTACTTATAAAAAAAAAAAATAGGATACCAATTTGCTATTTCTTCTCAAAATTAACCTCCTTGCTTCTTCTCAATGCATTTCCTTCACTGTTACATGTGTCTGACGGTCTTTCAAGTTTTATGAAACAGCTACGTTCCAAGCAATCTACTAATCCTAGTTTGACAATAACATGTACTTTAAAACTTTGACATTTTGTTTGCCTCTCTCCTGATATTTTTTTTCATCATCTCCATTACAAGATAATTGCTGTGTGACAATTGGTTTTGCTGGAAATGTGACATATATATAAAACAATTACAGATTCTGGATTTTATTTTTATTTCTAAGAATATCATATAGTGATAAAACTATACCTATCCTTAATGCATCAATTTCTATAAGGTGTCAGTGCATCACCAATCTATGAGTTGAAAATGACCTCGAGGGAGTATTCCCTAATCATCCATAATCAGGGGTGGACCCTGACCATTTGATTTGGAGGGGAGCCAAAACTAATTGTATAAATATAAAATTTTTAAAAAAATTAATATAATGAGGGTTTAGCTAAAATTTGGGGTTACACAATTACATAGTCAATGCAGCTTGTTGAGCTTGCACTTATATGGTTATTTACTATATGGTGGTTTTGTTTTCATAGTTCATTATACTTTTGTAATGAAGTAACTGAAAATAAATATTTCGCAGTTTAGTAAAAGGTGAAAGAGCTCAAAAGTAGAAGAAAAATCACATTGTCAATATATGCATATATATATATATATATATATATATGTAATATGTATTGTCAAAAAAGGAAAAAAAAAAAATCAAAACCATAAATATAGAGCAAAATCACATTGACAACCTATGGCTAGCTGAAGAAAACAAGAAAAAATGTTACCTCTGTTCTACCCGTCTTGTTACTAATGATGGAGATGGATGTGTTCTTTAAAAATTTGTGACAAGTGTTTGCTTCCATAGTTTTTCCTATATTTTTCCAGCTTTCCTAATAGTTGATGTTTCAATTAAATAGGTATTTGTAGGAATTGTCAGGCCTGAGTGTTGCATTGGCTCTAAGGGTTTGGTTACCTTGAGCAAGTTAGTTTAACTTGTTTGGTGAGTAAAGTGATACTTAGAATAACCATTTTGGCATTGATCAGTGTGTAAAATGACTAAGTAAAGAGGTGATATTATTGATCAGTGTGTACAATTCAAGTGTTTATAAAGTCAAGAACTTGATGCTTAATGAGGGGCCACTTAGTGAAGTTTTAAAAGAATTGGGGGGGCCATGGCCCCCTTGGTCCCTTGTATGGTCCGCCTCTGTCCATAATAGAGCATAGTAAATATACCAGAAATTTACAAGGGTGGTGGTGTGATATTAGTATTTTTCCAGTTTATATCCTATCTAAACTTCTCCTCAACTTTAATTGTTTAATTTCGTTTACTAGCTCAAGTATCCGGCACCTGGAGCTCCAGAATTGGCAAAGAGGGTGAAGGAAGTGCTCATGGCATCTGGTTTCAAAAAGGTGAACGAGGATAAATCGCGCGGGCTAGACCATGGTGCATGGGTTCCACTCATGCTCATGTATCCAGAAGCTGATATCCCAGTGTGCCAGCTCTCCATTCAGCTAGACCAGGACGCAACTTATCATTACAACTTGGGAAGGGCATTGGCCCCTCTCAAGGAGGAAGGTGTCCTCATTGTTGGTTCTGGATCTACCACTCACAACTTGAGATCACTCCGCCGAACTGATGATGATGGTTCCGTTGCTTCTTGGGCATTGGAGTTTGATACCTGGCTCAAACAGGCCCTCCTTGATGGAAGGTAATTGCTACGTAATGAAAGCATTTTTGGAGTGTAAAAGTGGTACAAACTAGACTTCTTGATTCAAATAATATTTTCCTAGTTTTAGATTATCTTTGTAACATTTTGTTTAATGGTTTTACGTTAATTTTACTTTTTATAATTTAAATTCGGTATGCGAGCAACTGTTCTTTGACTTGGGATTGTTAGAAGAATATCTCAAGATTTTGGTCATTTTTAAATAACTCGTGGATTATAGATTCCTTATCCAAGTTGAAAATGGTGGTTGCTGATCTTTTCTTTACTAAAGCAATTTGTGACCGCCTTGTAACTTCAGGAATGTAGTCCCTTGTTACCTAACCAAAAAATGAAATAAATAAGTTAATAAATAAATCAAAGAATAATGATTGTCTCAATTGTTCTGGACATAATTGTTTGTTATTACTTGACGCAGGTACGAAGATGTAAATCACTATGAAGAGAAAGCACCACATGCAAAGATTGCACACCCATGGCCTGATCACTTCTATCCACTGCATGTCGCCATGGGTGCTGCAGGTGAGAATGCAAAGGCAGAGCTTATCCACCATAGCTGGAGCCTTCATACTCTTTCTTATGCCTCCTACAGTTTCACAGCAAAGCCGTAAACATCTTGTTACAAAAGTGTGCACATATGCATAATGTGTGACTCTGGTTTTGCTTTCCTTTCTGTTTGAATAATTTTAGATGTATATTTGAATAAATTTCTTTGGATTTGTTGTAAACATGGTACTGCGCACTTGTTTGCAGGCAGAACAATCATCTGCTTAAATGAAGTTTCTTGCTCAATCCCATCTTTTTGCTCATTTGGATGACCATTTAGTCTTACCTCTGCGAATGGCATTAAGAAGATACATGACTGGAGCAAAAACCACAGGGGTGACATTGTGGGATTTGAATTTTGAAATTATATTTTTTTATATTTGGAACACATGCAATTTAAAACGAATTTAGGGTCGCTGGAAAAAAAAAAAAATAAATAAAAAAAAATAGACTCTCATCTAAAAGTCCCTTTGGGCGCAAATAAGGACTTGAACATTGAAATGACCAAGTGTCCTTCTTATAACTTAATAAAAAATAGTTAAAGAACTAATTAAATATAAAAGGACTAAAATGAAGGATGGGGTATTATTGGCCTAAAATGTAAATATTACGAGTGTGTTTCTCACTTTGCCCTGGGTATACACACACACCCTTGGCAATGGATGTACTTGCTGGTCTTTAACCGACCCATTTACTCCATTGAGAGTTATTTTGGGTATTACAATCGGACTCCATTTTGGGTATTACAGTTGGTGGTCAAGCCCTTCTTCTGTCGGTCACTATTTTGGGTATTACAATTGGGCTCCATTTTGGATATTACAATCAGTGCTCAAGCCCTTCTTCCGGTGAACCTCATCTAGTTCCGGTGAAGTTCATTTTAGTCATTTCACATTTAATTAATTTTCTTTTTTTTACCTATTTTTTATTCAGTTATAAAGAGACTTTAATCTTTTCAGCATTAAGTCCTTGTTTGCATCTAGATTTTATGTTGGGGACTTTCTACAATGTACAAGGGGTTGTTATATACTCTATATCCACATCATAAGATACTTTTTGTTTTCTCGCTTGCGCACGCACACATATATATAGGGTATTATCGAAAGAAGACAATAGCATTTTTGAAATTTTATATCTTAAAAATGCACATTACTAAAATTTTAATGACTTCAAGTCATTTTTTGTTACATTTTTTCAAACTTAAATGACTCATATATTCAAAATAAAGAGTAAGGGTGTTATTTATCCGAAGAGTAAACATGAGAAATATTTTTCTCCCTTTGTCCTATATATACACACACGTCCTATATATCCTGTCTTTCTTTCTCCACCATTTCTCTTTACCGGTTACATTCAGGTCTCCTTATCTTCATTCAACTCTTCCCCCTTGGACTAGAGAGCTCCGATCGCCCACCCTCCCTATCTTATTCAAATCAATCGATATAAAATTGTGAAAACACTCGTGAGAAAACTATAATAAATTGTAAAAACACAAATAAATTATATAAGAATTTACAAAACCAAATGATGTTCATGATAAATTGTATTATCGGATGCCCAAATTGGTTACAATATTTTAAAAGAAACGTTAATTTAATTCACACATTAATCTGAGAAGTAGCAAATTTGCAATCAAATTTAAAGAACTTTTAGATGTCTAATTTGAGTATGTGGTTTAGATGTACATTGAGGCTTAGATGTGTTAGAAAACCAGAGTTGAGGTTTATGATTTGATTTAGAAAAAACAGAGTTGAGGTTTATGAATTGGTCGCAAAAGCTGGAACCGGAAGCAAGTTAGGCCAGATGTGAAATATTAACCCCAAATTTACAGCAACAACAAAGAAACCCTTTTTCCAAAACTATTGTTGTTAACTTTGTTAAAGGCTGTGAATGGGTATAATGGTAACACTACATTTTTTTTTTTTTTTTTTGTTGTCTTATTAAACAGGGACCGTTTGACAACTACAATTGTTTTGTGCTTTTACTTTGATCTGAAGTAGAAGTAATGTTTCTGTTTTAAAATATGTTCAATACTATTTTAAAACTTCTTTGGTAACGTACATTTGTTACAAGTTTTTAGAAGCAAAAATATAAAAGCATATTTGGTAAAAAATGTACAATTTTAAAAATTTGAATGACTAGTTATAAATGTTATTTAAAAAAAAAAAAATTAATTTTTTAAAGTGATTTGGCAAACAAAAATATTTTTTTGATTCTTGGAATCATGCTTGGTTTTTTTGGTTTGGTTAAAGTATATTAGCAAAAACAAAAACATATACCAAGTAAAAACATTAGCTAAGCAAACCCTAAGGGGTAGGAATGTAATTTTTCATCAAATTTAATTCGAGGGCAATAAAAATGTCAAAGCATTTTCCCAATATCTTAAGTAGAGAACTGTAGAGATCAATGTAGCTGCCAAGCGCTCTTCTAAAACTTCTCAAAGCCACTTGTTGCATCTCAGCTGTGCGATTGCCCGTACAATATGGAGTACAAGAACAAGCTCGTTCTCGCTCCAATGGTTCGAGTTGTGAGTTGATCTCTCTCTCTATACATAACAATAAAAAGTGACAAAACTCTCTCTCTCTCTCTCTCTCTCTCTCAATATATAACAAAAAAAAAAAAGTTCTGTTATTCTTTAATTTTGTGCTCCGTCTAATTATTAGTTATTTGGACTCTGTCGATACGAAATTCTTTAGCTAAGTATTCATCTTCTTAGCTTTTAGTATTCAATTCTTAGCTTTTAGTTTTCAAGCTTCTTAATAGAGATATTTTCCCCCGGTATATATATATATATATATATATATATATATATATATATACAGAATCTTGAAATTATTGATTTGTATTTTTCGAAGTTTATGTTCATCGTTGATTGAATATTTCAGGGTACACTGCCGCTTAGGTTACTAGCTGCTGAATACGGTGCAGATATAACCTACGGAGAGGAGATAATTGATCATAAAATCATCAAATGCGAGAGGCGAATTAATGGTATTTATACAATCACTTGTTTTGATCAATGGATGATAAGTTTGCGTGATTAAAATTCTGATCTTAAGCTTAATTGGAATTGATTTTTAACTTTTTTTGGCTTTGAATTTGGTGTTAATAGATATATTAATTTTTAGTGGCTATCTTATGGGATTGTCAGAATTTCTATATCTATGCAATGCATGATTGCATATATATAACTGAAGTTTATTGCAAAATGCAAAGTATTCATATCCTTAAAATTTGTTATTTGCAATGTTTCACAATTAATACTACTGTATAGTGTAATTACTGCATATATTATAATTTTGAAACTAGATAAAGCAACAGAGTATTGATATGCAAGAAAGAGTCTAAAATATCTCTTTGCTGTAATGTTTACAATTTATTTATAGATATTTACTCGCATGGTTGATATATAGAGCGCTTGATACATTCAGTGTATAGCCACACCAAAAAAACTGAAAGGCATACATACTCTTAAAACTTACATTTTATTGGAATGATTGTTAATGAAGGTCTGAGAGTTGACTAACCCCCCCAAAAATAAAAAAGTTCTGATGCTTGTCTTTATAAAGTGCTAAATCTACAATATCATGTTTATGTTCATGTAATAATCTACAAGCTATCCCAAATTTCACCGGGCTTGTTTTTGGGTAACGGATGGGTATGTAGGGTTCATTGAATATTTGTAGGATAGGTTCTGGTTCCAACAGTATTTGAATTAGGCTATGCAGTGAAGAAACAGGGACTCATAATCTCTTTTTAAAAGAGGACCCTTTCCACGTTTGGGAACTGTATGCATGAAGGATAGCCATATTAGCCAATTTTGGCTGTGTAATTGGGATAAATATCCAACCAACCTCTTTACTGGTAAGGAAACAAACAATCATAGGAGTTTGCATGAGTGGATTGTTTGAGTGAATATGACCGCGGCACTAATAGAAAATTATATGTTTTTCAAGACCTAAAATAAGCAAGATAGGGTCAAATTTTCAAATAGGTTGTGGCAGCCGAACTAGTAAAAATTGATCCAGAAACATAGTTGTTACACCTTTATGATTTGCGATTCTAATTTTATAATTTTACATGATTTCACTCCTCTTTGACATGAATTGCTAAGTGAATCCAAATTCAAGAGTGATGCATTTATTGTCAATAAAGCTTTTCACGTACCTCATTTATTGGCCGACCCCCTATTTATTATTGTTCTCAGGATCTCAATTGATTGCGCAAATGTCAATTGAGAAGATTTGGGTTTATGTATTCTAACAAATCTCCAAATGCATCATCTTCTTCACTCACTAACTAATGGTAGAGTCGTTGTCATCTTCATCTCCTGGAAGCTAGGATTTGAAACGTATTCCATGGTTATCTTGGTTGGTCAATGCAGCTAGTCAATGTTGGATTATTTTTTCATCATAGTGGTAATGCCTATTTCCGAGTTCTAGACACAGGAAATATAAAGTAATTCTTAACTAATTCCATTTTTCTTTTCCTCTTTTTTGTTTTTGTTTTTGTTTTTGTTTTGTTGGGGACCCATTTCCCGAGGTAGTTATGTGAATTGGCAAACCAAATTATTATTATTTTTTTTCTAATAAGAACTTTTTAAGAGTCCTTATAGGATTCTTCCTTTGAGGTGTTTTATTTCTGTATATTTTACACACTCCTTTATAAAATAGTAACTTCACAAATATATATGTATATACATTTTATATACTCCCAATAGAGTCATTCTTCTGTCTTCTTTTAATAAGGTAAACTTCCCCTTGAAGAATTTTTATTTTTTTATTTTTTTTTATATTCTTTCGTAATTTTTGAGCTGGATCCCACCTTTAGATTCTTGGTGAGTTGCTGTAGTTTTATCTTTCGTTTGGGTTCTCTGCAAACCTCAATTTGAGAGGTATACAGTTGAGGCCAAACTTTTGCACCACATTGTAGGTGTAGTTACAGTTGAGCTAGAAAAATTTAAGGAGATTATGCACAACTTTACCGGTGAAACTGAAAAATTAGATAAGTTGTTAGGGATGAATAATATATAGGAGCTAAGATGGTTTACAATTTGTTCATAAATACACCCTCCTACTTTAGACACTAAAAGAGAAAAAGTGAAAGAAATCCATAATTTTTTTTATTCTTCTGAGATTCTTAAGTTTCTCATTACCATATTGTAAGGGTTCCACTATTTATTTTTATTTTATTTATATTTGTTTTTATCTTTTTTTCTCTTTGTAACAACGAAGAGATGTTTTAACACAAAATAACGAACTTGGTAAGAAGATTGGAAAAATACCTTTTTAAGCATGCTAGTATGATTAATTTGTCTCAAAAGTTTTTAGCTTTGAATATGAAATTTCCTACTTATCAAAAAAAAATGAAATTTCCTAAAGCCCTACACTTTGAAACAATTGAGAATTTTTCAAAACAAAAGTATTCTTAAACTTTACTTGGGGATTATTGGTTTAGAGTATGGTAACCTAGTGTTGTATGCCTTTCTTTTGATAGTGGATTTGATCTGCAAGGATTAAGTCCCATATTTTTTTGCTGTTGGGGTTACCCACGTAAATCTGGTGTGTTGATGTTGTAGTTTTGCTCTCTATACTTAAATGATTCATATTGATGCGTTTAAATATATTTTTAAATCTTAAAATTTGAACAAGATCTATTCACCCCTCGATATATTGTGGGCATAGCGTACCTAATTTAGAATAAATATTTGCACGTACTATGTACGCTAGTTTTTAAACTTCTTTCTATGATATTATTTCTCAAACATTCTTCATTTTAATTTTTTTTTTTTACCAAATTTTATAATACAAGCTTCTCATTTTGACGATGGTTTGGATATTCTCATTCTACCCAATGTTTCCTTTGATAATGGACCTCTTCCTCTAGAATCCTCAAAAATATCTTTTACTATTACTTTAATATTGCTAACCATCTTATACACATTATATTAGTTTTATATTCTAATTTCATTGTTTTCTTCGACATATTATTCTTAAAATTCTTTTTCTTACTCCCTTGTCAAAATTCACCACTCCCTTTTTAGGTTTCACCACGTAGCTCTAAAAGATAGAATATCAATTCATACAACTTCAGAAAAGTATCTCGATTTAACTACTTTAGCTGATTGACCGTTCAATGCCTTTTAACGTTGGTAGAGAATATGAATTATAGGAAAATAACTGGTTATTTAGTATTACTGTTAGCCGAGATATGTTAACTTAGAATAGTGGGATTTGAGGGCGTAATTAGTAGGATTTGATCCCATAATTATTGTCATAATTAGTGGGATTTGACCACGTAATTATTGTTTTAATTAGTTGACGTAATTAGTGGGATTTGACCATGTAATTATTGTAAATTATATTTTTTACTAATTTAAATACATGGGTGTAGAGAAAATAACCATTTCTTACGTTCTCATTCAAGCCTTTACATATTTCTCTTTTATTTGGGAATTAGAGACAGGGTGCTCCGACTGCAAGACATTGTTGATGGTTTATGATCTGACGAGACATTGTTGATTTTTCCATCTACATATATATATATTTTTGATAAGTAAAGAATCAATAGAAAGCGTTCAAAAGGGGAATGCGTCCCATTTACAAGAACAAAACAAAAACCCAATGAATCCAAGAAATCAACAACATTATCATCAGAAGAATAATGTCTCCCCTTCGCCTAACTACAAATGGATCGAATAATATGAAGTTTTAAAGTTGCTGTAGACACCACAATTCCTTCAAAGCATCTGTTGTTCCTCTCTTTCCATATGCACCACCAAACATAATGTGGAATGGTCCGCCAACACTCACGAGCATGACCCCCCACATGACATCCCCTCCACACTTCAATCATGCCCCTTTTGGACCTAGGCATCACCCAAGAAATACCGAACAATCCGAAAATAAGATTCCAGCAATCATGTACCACAGGGAAGTGTAAGAGCAGGTGATCCGTAGACTCACCATCGTTTTTGCATAGACAACACCGATTGACAATAATAACGCCTCGCTTCCTCAGGTTATCCAATGAAAAAATCTTACCCCACATAGTAGTCCACACAAAGAATGCCACCTTAAGTGGAGCCTTAGAACACCAAATAGTATTCCAAGGGAAAACGACACCAGTGAAGTTGGATAGACACAAAAACATAAAACGAACCTCGAAACCTCCATGGGAAGAGGGAACCCACAGAAGAACATCATCACCTATGCCACCAACCTCCTGTTGATACAACATATCTAGAAAAGCACAAGCCTCATCCATCTCCCAGTCCTAAAAAGAACGCCTAAAACGCACATCCCACTGCCATCGAGCCGATAGCAATCAACTACAAAGGCATGTCTATCAGTAGCGATTCTAAAAAGCCCTAGAAAAGAGCAAGACAACGGCTGGTCTCTGCACCATAAGTCCTCCCAAAACCGAACACGTCTACCATCCTGAACTTTGAATCTGATATGAGAGGAAAAAACATCCCATCCTTTCCGAATAAATTTCCACACGCTAACTCCTCCAGCGTTAGGGACTGGGCATGAAGACCACCCACCTCTCTCTTCTCCATACCTACATGAAACAATCCTCCTCCATGGCCAGTATCTTTCTCTTCCAAATCTCCACAACCACTTGCCTAGGAGGGCTCTATTAAAGGAAATCAGCCTCCTAATGCCCAGACCACCCAACTTGATTGGCTTGCAAATATGCTCCCACTTGACAAGATGGTACTTGAACTCTTCTCCCCTTCCACCCCACAAGAAATCCCTTTGAATTTTCTCGATTCTTTCAGCAACAGAACACGGAATCTGGAATATAGATAGGAAATAAGTGGGAAGGTTTGAGAGAGTGCTCTTAATAAGAGTGACCTTCCCCCCCTTCGACAAATATTGCTTTTTCCACCCCACCAATCTCTTCTCAAACCTAGCAATCACAGGATCCCACGTCCCCACCCTTTTAGAGGAAACCCTATGTGTGTGAAGGAAAATGGTCTGAGGAGA